CACCACACTTCCTGATTTCAAACTATGTTAGAAAGCTATAGTAAACAAAACAGTTTGGTACTGGCATGAAAACAGACACATTGACTAGTGGAACAGAATTGAGAGCCCAGAAGTAAATCCATGGATTTATGGTCACTTGATCTTCAACAGAGATGCCAAGGAACAAACAATGGAAAAAGGACAGTCTCTTCAATAAACAATGTTAGGAAAACTGGATATCCACATCCAGAAGAATGAAATTGGACCATTGTCTCACACCATATAGAAAAATCAACTGAAAATTGATTAAAGACTTAAGTGTAAGACCTGAAACTGTAAAACTACTAAAAGAGAACATAGAGAAAAAGCTCTTGACATTAGTCTGGGCAATGATTTTTTTGGCTATGACCCTCAAAGCACAGGCAACAAAAGCAAAAATAGACAAATTGGATTGTAACAAACTGAAAACCTTCTGTACAGTGAAGGAAACAATCTATAAAGTGAAGAGACAACCTATAGAATGGGAGAAAATATTTGCAAACCATACATCTGATAAGGGGTTTATATCCAAAATATACGGGAACTGAAACAATTCAATAGTAAGAAAACCAATAATCTAATGTAAATTGGTCAAAGGACCTGAATAGACATTTCTCAAAAGAAGACATACAGACATCCAACAAGTACATGAAAAGGTGCTCAACATCACTAATCATCAGGGAAATACAAATCAAAACCACAGTAAGATATCATCTCACACCTGTTAGAATGGCTGTTATCAAAAAGACAAACGATAACAAGTGTTGGTTCGGATGTGTAGAAAAGGGAGCCCTTGCCCTCTGTTGGTGGGAATGTAAAGTGGTACAGCCATTATGGAAAACATTATGGAGTTCCCTCAACAAATCAAAAATAGAACTTCCATGTGATCCAGCAATCTCACTTCTGCGTATATATCTGAAGGAAATGAAATCAGTATCTTGAAGAGATATCTGCACTCTCGTGTACATTGCAGCATTATTCACAATAGCCAAGGTATGAAAACGACTTACATGCCTATCAATGGATGAATGGATAAAGAAAATGTGATACACACACACAGTGGAATATTATTGAGCCATAAATAGGAAGGAAATTCTGCCATTTGAGACAACATGGATGAACCTGGAGGGCAGTAGGAAATAAGCCAGAAAGAGAAAGACAAATACTATATGGTATCACTTATATGTGAAATCTAAAAAAAAAAGTTGAACTCATAAAAGTGGAGAATAGAATGGTGCTTGCCAGGGGCTGGAAGGTGAGGGAAATGGGGAAATATTGGTTAAAGGGCACAAAGTTTCAGTTATGCAGGATGAGTAAGTTCAAGGATCTAATGTAAGCAGCGTGACTATAATTAATAATACAGTATTATATACTTGAAATTTGCTGACAGTAGATCTTAAGCATTCTCATCACAAAAAAGCTACAATACTGTTAATTAGCTTGATTGTGGTAATCTTTTCACAGTGTATACGTATATAAAAACATCACGTTGTACACCTTGAACACACACAGTTTTTGTGTATTATATCTCACTAAAGCTGAGGAAAAAAAGAAAGAGTAACAAGAGTGATGAGCTTTAACACTATAAAAGTTTGGGTTCATATCCCAGCTCCTATCTGTTAGTGAATCGAAGCTGGGAAAGTTACTTAAATCTCGTTGTACCTTAGTTTCCCTGTTTATAAAGTCAGCATATTATTATCATATTTGTAGGATTGCCTTAAAATTAAGTTAGTAAATGTAAATGGAACACAGTCACATAGTAACTCAACAAATATTCATAAAAATAGATTCCTACACAGTCTACCTGCCTGCATTTACCTACAGGTTCACAGAGTTCAAATATGCCCACTACCAAACCCATCTTTCAAAGATACTGTGCCCCTGTTCAAAACCTTCCTATTGTTTCCTATTTCCTATATTGCCGATTTCCCAACTTAGTGGGAACTGGGTGGATGGTCGTGGCAAGGTTAGAGTTTTAGAACTTATGTGTTAAATCTTGTTATCCGTAAGTCTAATGCTGTGAGGGAAGGGGTAGCCGAGGGTGATACCGTGAGACGCCAGGAAAGGACTGTCCTTGTACCACAGGTTTAAATCATAGATTTGACTACTGGAACACCTGTCCCTCTTCTATAGTATGAGGAGTGGCTTGAGATGTCACCAGTGATGCTTGAGTCACTAACCATTGACAAATGTTTAGTGACTCAAGGCCATTCTTGTCAACTTCCTTTTATAAACCTTTAGCACTAGGTAAACTGATTTTGTTATCATCCTCTCTGTAAGAACCTTAAGATTTCCTAGGTCTGTGACTTTCCTGGAGATAGTCTACACTTGGAATGTCTTGTCCTCTTGTCCCCAATTTCAATATTATCCATTCCTTAGAAACGAGCTAAAACCCCAACTTCTGTATAAAACTGCCTAAGATCACCCCAACTTTTGAGTAATTTCTCCTTTCAAGGTGGCCACATTTATTTGGCATTATGTACTGCCTTCTCATAAGTTTGGGTCATCTACACAACCTGAATTATATCTATATTGAGTGTATAGACTTTTATTTTTATGGTATCTTTGATTATGCCTAAACAGTGACTTGTACATAGTAAACCCTCAAAAAACATTGTTTAATGAAAAGTCAGTTCAGTAGTATAAAATATCATGTTCAGGTGAGCTAATTGAGGACTAACATGTCAACTTATTCAGTCAGTCAGAAGAGGGTGGGCAGAAGTAATAACTGTCATATCTGTGAGACAATAAATTTGTTCTTTTGGAAAAAAAGAAATAATAGTTCTCAGTCTCCCAAACTCAAAATCTGATTGACTTTGTACAGCTAATGGATTGATTCTATCCTGGGTCAAATGATCATCCCTCGTCAAATCAGCTGTGGCCAGAGGGGTGGATTTATTTGGTCTGAACAGTATTACTGAAGGATTGGAAAAGGCTAAGAGGATGATGAGGCTAGAGCTTAGGGTTTGTAATTATGGGAGAGGCCCAGAGAAGGTGGCAAAGAAAAGTCTTCCTTCCGGATGATCTATGAGATGCTCCAGGATGCCCCTGCTGAGGCTGTCATGGTTCCTCTTCCATGTTTATTGCCCTCTGAACATCAGTCATTATCCTCTAAGCCTCCATTTTCTCATCTGTAAAATGGAGGAGGGGTGTTAATTCCACTTGTCTATCTAACTTCCAGTGCAGCTGGGAGAATAAGAATCAAATGACACCATGTCTATGGAGACTCTTGGTGTAAATGCCATATAAATGTATAGGATATTAATTTACGAAGGAAGACAAAACAATTTCATCAAGCTACTGAAACAGATTTTAGTCAAGGCTCTTGGGTCAGAATAGAGACCCACTCTGACTCACACAATGAATGAAAACCCACTCAAGTTGAAGAAAAGATACAGAGGGAATTCTATGGAGAAAAGGTAAAACGGTCAGCATCCTGTAGCTTTTCTGTCTGTCTCTCTGGAACTTTACGAAGGCTATTGATCCTGTCTCTTGCTGTGTGTGGCTGCTTTCTCTAAGCTGATGGGTCTCTCACTTTACTAATCTATAAGCTAGGCTGGAGATCTGTCTCAAGCTGCTCAGCCCACTCCAGTCCTGATTGCATTCCTGTTTAGACACTCACCCTCATTTAATTGTATATGGAGCTCCCTGTTCTAGTTCCTACTCCCTAGACTCAAAATCTGATTGTCTAAAAATCTGAACACCTGAGAGATCCACACAGCCATGCATCTGAAGGTGAGTGGCCTGGATCCCCAGGAAGCAGTGGAACTGGGTGAGCAGACCCTTCCCCCACCCCAGCGGCAGCATTGCAGGTTGTGGGTCTCAAAGTCTGATTGTTTGCCAAAAGATGGATTCCATCCCAGGTCACGTGATCACTTTTGTTCCAATAAGCTGCAGACAGAGGTTAAAGTTACTGGATATGAGCATGGCCAACCAGGTCTTCCTCTCCAGTATGGTAGGTGAATGGGGGTAATTAAAAGAATGAGACATAGGCTGGTGGGGGAGCACCCAAAAAAATGTCTACTCAGAACAGCTTTGGGCTGAGACTCTCAAGAAGATAATAATTAAAGATTCAAAGCCATTCTTTGGTTTATTTGTTTATTCAACAAGTATCTGCCAAGCATTTGCTCTGGGTAGGTATGATTCCAGGCCATGGGGACACAAGGAATAAGCGACAATTCCTGCCCAGTCTAATTAAACCAGAAAGACAGATGATCCAACAAAGGAACAAATGAGGGTCCCAGGTGCTCTCATAGAAATTTGCACCAGGTCTGGGGTCTGGGCACAGAGAATTATTTGGTCAGCCGTATGAGGTTCATGGGAGTCAGGTCCAAAAGATTTCCTATAGCAGTGGTTGTCAGCCTTGAGCATGCATCAGAACCATTTGGAAGGTTTGTTAAAGCATTAGATTGCCAGGCCCTGCCAACAATCTGATTCAGTAGGTCTACTTTAGGAGCTAACAGTTTTTCATTTCTAAATGTTTCCAGATGATGATGATTCTCCTGGTCTGGGACTCATACTTTGAGAACCAATGACTTGGAGTTTTGGGCGTTGAAAGATGAAAACATGGGGGAAATGATTGTTGACTCAGTGTCATGGAGCTGTGATGATTCAGCATTTGGGGAACTGAAAGTGTTTGGGCATGACTCTAGTGTAGGATGTGTTTTGAGAGTCGTGAGGGGAACTAGAGAGATAAGCAAGGGCTAGATTGTCAAGAACCTAGAATGCCAAGCACAGGAACTTGAACTTTATTCTGTAGGTAATGAGGAGCCATTACAGAATTTTAAGCAGGACAAGGATATGTTCATATTTATGCTTCAGAAAGATCACAATACTCTGGATAGGCAGGGGTGGGAAGGAGAAGCAGGACCATCAGGAAGACTGTCTAGATCATGGTTAGCCTGGGCATGGCTACCCCTGAGGACTTACAGGACCTTGTCAGTCTTAAGGAACATGATGGTATCACTGTTCTTGATCTGCAGGTCTCTGACTCTGCAAAAGTTCCACCAGTTCTGACCCTGGAACTTTAGGATATGATCCACCACTCAAGGCCCTCCAGCTGCATTGATCTTCTCTTACAAGACTCAGATGGAGTATCAAGTTTGATGATGTAAGCATTGGTCTTGCTACTTGATTCCTTCAAGGAGATAAGATTCCCAGCACCAGGATGCCACCTTAGAGAAGATCCAGTAATCCACCAGGGTCTGCTGGCTGCTGACCATTCACTGTTCCACTTGGCTCTTGGAAGGAAAAATGCTGCTTTCCACGGAGACTTCATGTCCCTTTGATCTCCATTTCATCTTCCAGATGGGACTGCAGGCATTTGCTGATTGTCTAGGCTTCTTCCCTGATCTGTCTCACCCCAACCTGGATGTTCCTTGCTCACTGGAAGGAAGGGATGGGCTGATGAAGATATCTGGGTGGCTATCCATAACTGTGTGTTGTCTCCAAAGCTTCCACCTTCTGGCAACTGACCACTTACTGTATCGCCCTACTGAGGTACTTTGGAAAGTAAAAAGAAGGAGTGACATCAGCAGCATGCCAGAGTGAATTGTTCCCTTTGTCTCTCCCCTCTAATTTACAACTTAAAGGACATGTGTTAACCAACAGAGGATTCTCTACACAGCACCACAGAACACCTGAGAGATCCACACAGCCACGCATCTGAAGGTGAGTGGCCTGGATCCCCAGGAAGCAGTGGAACTGGGTGAGCAGACCCTTCCCCCACCCCAGCAGCAGCATTGCAGGTTGTGGGTCCTCACACAGCAGCTGGCATGGCTGTGAGAGAAGGTGGAGGCAGCCCAGCCTGCATGCAAACACTTTCAGAGTGGTAGCCCAGACTTTGGGAGCACCCACCGTGCTGTGGCTGCCCCACTCATGGGGGCACTTCCCACCAGGTGGTGGTGGCTCAGCCCCTGTGAAAGAGCCCTGCCCACCAAGTGCAGCAGCTCAGCTGAACCCCCCATGAGTGCAGAGCTGGCCCACATGAAAGAAAGTGCCCTTCCCACCTAGCACAGAAGCTTGGCCAGTCCCCTACTGAGCACAGTGGCCCTGCCAACACAAGAGTGAACCATGGGCGGAGCACAGAGGCCCAGCCTGCATGTGCATGCCCAACCCAGTAAGCAGCTGGGGCCAGCCTGCACAAAAGCAGAACAGCCCTACCAGCACAACTTCCAGCAGATGGAGCAAGATCAGAAAACACAGCTTCTGCCCACCCCCACAGTGGTGGCAGGTGGAATCTGCGACTTGATACTACCACAAATGCACTGGCAAAGGATCAATTCATCAAACACCATGAAGAACTACAGTAACATTTCAGAGCAGAAAGAAAATGACAAGTCTCCAGAAACCAATCCTGAAGTCTCAGAAATTTACAATCTAAATGATGGAGAACTCAAAATACTTGGCATAAAGAAACCCATGGCTGGGTGGTTAAAGTTCCATGCACTCCGCTTCAGTGGCATGGGTTTACAGACTTGGATTCTGGGTGCAGACCTACTCTACTCATCAGCCATGCTATGGAGGCATCCCACATACAAAGTAGTGGAAGATTGGCACAGATGTTAGCTCAGGGCTAATCTTCCTCAAGCTAAAAAAGAAGAGGATTGGCAACAGATGCTAGCTCAGGGAAAGTCTTCCTCACAAAACAAAACAAAACAAAAAACTCAATGAGTTACAAGAAAACTCAGAAAGACAGTTCAGTGAGCTCAGAAATAAAGTTAATGAGCAGAAGGAACTACTTCACCAAAGAGGTTGAAGCCCTTAAAAAAATTATACAGAAATTCTGGATGTGAAGAACACAATTAATGAGATAAAAAATAATCTAAAAGCCATAAAAAATAGAGCTGACCTTATGGAGGAGAGAATAAGTGACCTAGAAGATAGAAACCTAGAAATGCTTCAGATGGAAGAGGAGAGAGAACTAAGATTTTTAAAAAATGAAGAAATTCTTCAAGAAATATGTGACTTAATTAGGAAAAGCAACATAAGGATAATAGGTATTCGAGAGGGAGAAGAGAGAGAGAAAGGAGCAGAGAGCTTGTTCAAAGAAATTATAGCTGAGAACTTCCCAAACCTGGGGAAGGAACTGGACTTACAAATACATCAAAACAATAGAATTCCTAATTACATCAATGCAAAAAGACCTTCTCCAAGGCATATAATATTAAAACTGGCAAAAGTAAAACACAAAGGAAAAATATTAAGGGCAGGAAGGCAGAAGAAAATAACCTACAAAGGAACTCCTATCAGGCTTTCAATGGATTTCTCAGCAGAAACCTTACAAGCTAGGAGAGAGTGGAATGATATATTCAAAATACTGAAAAACAAAAACTTTCAGCAAAGAATACCCTATCCAGTGAAACTATCCTTCAGATACGATGGAGAAATAAAAGCACTCCCTAGAAAAACAAAAGCTGAGGGAGGTCATCAGCACTAGGGCTGCCTTACCAAAAACATTGAAAGGTGCCGTCCCATCTGAAACTAAAAAGCAGAGGTTTACAAAACCTTGAACAAGGAACTAAACAGACTGATAGAATCAGAAAAGTGCAGCTCTGTATCAGAATGGGTTAGTAAAGACTTAATTATAACATTAAAGATGAAGGGAAGGAAGGCATCAAAAATAACTATAAACACTTCAATTTAGTCACAAACTCACAACACAAAAAAAAGTAATTTGTGACAATAATTCAGAATGAGAAGAGGTAAGATATGAAAGCTACTTAGGCTAATGGAGGTACGAGGCTATCAGAAAATGGACTATCTTATCTATGAGATCTTTTATACAAACCTCATGGCAACCACTAAACAAAAAAATCAGAGGAGAACCACAAATCATAAAGAAAGAGAAAACTGAGAAAACCATCACAGAAAACCACCAAACTGAAATGACAGAAATACAAGGAAAAAGAAACAATGGAAATATAGAACAACCAGAAAACAAGAGATAAAATGGCAGTATTAAGCCCTCATATATCAATACTTGCTCTAAATGTAAATGGATTGAACACTCCAGTCAAAAGACATAAAGTGGCGGGTGGATTAAAAAACAAGACTCAACAATACGCTGCCTCCAGGAAACGCGTGTCAACTCTACAGACAAACATAGGCTCAGGGTGAAGGCATGGAAGACAATACCCCAAACAAATGGCAAACAAAAGAAAGCAGGTGTTGCTGTACTTATATCAGAAAAGCAGACTTAAAGATAAAAGAAGACAATGAGAGACAAAGTGGAGCAGTATAAAATGATAAAACAGACATTCCACCAAGAGGACAAAACACTTATGAATATATATGCGCTTAACACAGGAGCACCAAAGTATATAAAGCAACTATTAACAAACCTAAAGGGAGAAATTGACAGCAACACAGTAATAGGGAACCTCAGCATCAAACTTAAATCAATGGATAGATCATCCAGATAGAAAATCAACAAGGAAACCGTAGCCTTAAATGCAATACTAGACCAGATGGACTTAAATATATATATGTAGAACGTTCCATCCAACTACAACAGAATATACATTCTTCTCACATGCACATGGAACATTCTCAAAGATAGACCATATGTTGGAAAACAACGCAAGCCTCAATAAACTTAAGAAGACTGAAATCATATCAACTATCTTTTCCTACCACAATGCTATAAAACCAGAAATCAACTACAAGAAAAAGGCTGGGAAAGTCACAAATATGTGGAGACTGAACAACCATTGGCCCAATTAAGAAATCAAAGGAGAAATCAAAAATACCTGGAGATAAATGGAAATGAAAACACAACATACCAACTCTTATGGGATGCAGCAAAAGCAGTATTAAGAGGGAAATTTATAGCCATACAGGCCTACCTCAACAAACAAGAAAAATCTGAAATAAGTAATCTTAAACTACACCTAATAGAAGTAGAAAAAGGAGAACAAAGCCTAAAATCAGCAGAAGGAGAGAAATAACAAAAATCAGAGCAGAAATAAATAAAGTAGAGACTAAAAAAAAAACAACAGAAAGGATCAATGAAGCTAATAGCTGGTTCTTTGAGAAGATAAACAAAATTGACAAACCCTTAGCCAGACCCACTACAAAAAGAGAGAGAAGTCTCAAATAAATAAAATTAAGAATGAAAGAGGAGAAATTACAATGGGTGCCACAGAAATACAAAGAATTATAAGAGAATACTATGAAAAACTATATGCCAACAAATTGGATAACCTAGAAGAAATGGACAAATTCTTAAGAGTCATACAACCTCCCAAAACTGAATCAAGAAGAAATAGAGAATCTGAAAAGACCAATCACAAGTAAAGAGATTGAAACAGTAATCAAAAACCTCCCAAAAAACATAAGTCCAAGACCAGATGGCTTCTCTGGAGAATTCTACCAAACATTCTCAAACTGTTCTGAAAAACTGATGAAGATGAAACACTTCCTAACTCATTCTATAAGGCCAACACTGAAACCAGATAAGGCCACACAAAGAAGGAAAATTACAAGCCAATATTGCTGATGAAGATAGATGCAAAAATCTTCAACAAAATATCAGCAAATCAAATACAGCAATACATTTTAAGGATAATACACCATGATCAAGTGGGATTTATACCAGGGACATAGGAATGGTTCAAATGTGATACACCACACTAACAAAATAAGGAATGAAAATCACATGATCATCTCAGTAGACGCAGAGAAAGCATTTAACAAGATTCAACATCTATTTGTGATTTTAAAAACTCTTAATAAAATGGTTATAGAAGGAAAGCACCTCAACATAATAAAGGCCATATATGACAAACCCACAGCCAACATCATACTCAGTGGAGAAAAACTGGAAGACATCCCTCTGAGACTAGGAGCAAGACAAGCATGCCCACTCTCACCACTCCTATTCAACATAGTACTGGAGGTTTTGGCCAGAGCAATTAGGCAAGAAAAAGAAATAAAAGGAATCCAAATTGGAAAGGAAGAAGTAAAACTCTTGCTGTTTGCAGAAAACATGATTCTATATACAGAAACCCTAAAGAACCTACCACAAAACTCTTAGAAATAATCAACAACTACAGCAAAGTTGCTGGGTACAAAATCAACTTAGAAAAATCAGTTGCATTTCTATACTCTAATAATGAGCTAGCAGAAAGAGAAGTCAAGAATACAATCCCATTTACAATCACAACAAAAGAATAAAATATCTAGGAATAAATTTAACCAAGGAGGTGAAAGACCTATACACTGAAAACTATAAGACATTATTGAAAGAAATTGAAGACGACGTAAAAAAATGGAAAGATATTCCATGCTCATAGTTTGGAAGAATAAACATAGTTAAAATGTCCATGTTACCTAAAGCAGGTTACAGATTCCATGCAATCCCAATGAGAATCCCAATAACATTATTCACAGAAATAGAACAAAGAATCCTAAAATTTGTGTGAAACAACAATAGACCTCAAATAGGCAAAGCAATCTTGAGAAAAAAGAACAAAGCTGGAGGCATCTCAATCCCTGACTTCAAAATATACTACAAAGGTATACACTGCTGGTGGGAATGCAAACTAGTGCAGCCACTGTGGAAAACAGTATGGAGATTTCTCAAAAAATTAAAAATAGAAATGCCATGTGATCCAGCTATCCCTCTATTTGGTATTTATCCAAAGAACGTGAAATCAACAATACAAAGAGACTTACGCACCCCCTATGTTCACTGCAGCGTTAGTCACAATAGCCAAGACGTGGAAGCAACCCAAGTGCCCATTAACTGGTGACTGGATAAAGAAAATATGGTATATATATACAATGGAATACTACTCAGCCATAAAAAAGACAAAATCCTCCCATTCACAACAACAAGCAAAATAAGCCAGACGGAGAAAGACAAACACTGTATGATTTCACTCATATGTGGAATATAAACAAACACATGGACAAAGAGAACAGGTTAGTGGTTACCAGAGGGGAAGGGGACTGGGGCGGGGGGGAAAAGGGGTAAAGGGCACATATGTATGGTGATGGATAAAAGCTAGACTATTGGTGGTGAGCACCATGCAGTCTATACAGAAACTGATAGATAATGTACTCCTGAAATTATACAATGTTATAAAACAATATGCCCTTAGTAAGATAATTTTTAAAAGTTAAAAGTAAAAGGAGATGCTTTCAGCAATTATGTGAGACAACAGGCGTGATCCTGACTGTCCCAGGCAAAGTCATCCGAGGCTTGCAGGACCATTGAGTCATCCTCTATCCTCTGACTCACCCCAACCATAATAGCAACTTGAAACAGTTCTCCAAATAACCACTCCTCCTATTTGGAAATATTCAGAGACCTCACCTGTCATGTAGGGCTAATATTAGTGCCTATTGCATAGATACAGCATAGGGCTGTTGTGAGGTTAAATGATTTAGCATATGTCTGACACAGGGAACAGTATGCAAAGATATACATTCAAGGATATTCATTGCAATAGCAGAAGTCTGAAAGCAGCCTAAAAATCTATCAGTGGGTCACTGGTTATGTAATTGAGATACTTTTGTGCGTTGGATTATGATACAGCTGTCACAGAGATTGATTGGGTCTAGGATGACTGTGTGTTTCTGCTTGTCGAGGACAGTCCTGGTTTGTGTCCTTGTCCTGGCATAAGTGATATCACCCTCGAGAGTTTCCTCCTTTGAACTTCATGTCATGCTTGCTCCTTAGGTCTATATATGTGGCTATGAAATTGTCCCCAAGAAAATTTAATTTAAGAATTGAATAACTTGACAACTGAAATAAACTAGAACCGTGGAAAAAATAGGAAGTACAATTCGATGCACGCATCTGCTTGAGTGTGGATGGCATATCCATGGAAGGAGGTGCGAGAAATGACAAATGCATGTCTGGGCACCACGCAGAACTGAGGGCTGGGTGGTCAGGATGGGAGGAAGGCCTACCCTTAATTGGACATTCTTTCAACAGCTTGATTTGTTTTCTTTTTTAAAAAAAACTATGAGCATGTGTTACCTTTTCACAAAACGTAAAAGTACTATTATTGTTTAAAGATTATGGGGAGGGGTCTTGACAGGAATTCGAAGTACTATCCTGTTCCGTGAGTTTTGCCTCCCAGCAGCCCCACGGCCACTGGACATTCCCAGTCAGTGGGAGATGGTGGGTGTCCAGTCTCTCTGATAGCTTGCTCCAATTACTGCAGGGTTGCCTTTGAGGCCACACTCAGAATTTCCATGCAGGATATGAAAAGCAGGCCTGGCAACACGCTTTCTCTGGGAGTAGCAGATTGAGGAAATTAGATCTCTCAGTGATCCGTTAAGCAGAGTGCTGGTCAATGAATCCTGGGTCCTGACATAGCATTCAGCCCCAGGACCGCTGTGATCCATGCGGGAAAAGACGTGCATTAACTATAGGCCATAATTTATTCAAGTTTTCTTTGTTTCTACCTACTGTTTTCTGTCCCATGATCCCATCCAGTGTGTCATTATATCTAGTTGTCATGTCTCCTTGGGTTCCTCTTGAGTGATAGTTTCTGACTTTCATTGAATTTGATGACCTTAAGAGTTTTGAGGAGTCCTAATTTGGTATTTTGTAGAGTGTCCTTCTGCTGGCATTTGTCTGATGTTTTTCTCATGAATTCACTGGGGTTCTGGAAGGAAGACAACAGGTAAAGTGCCATTTTCATCCCATCATATCAAGGGTACATACACAGCATCACTTTCGATGTTAACTTGATCACCAGGCTTGAGGTCGTGTGAAGTTTCTCTCGCCCCCTGCCTGCCACCTGCCTTTCTCCACCGTGGTCTTCGGAAGGCAGTCGTCCTGCGCAGCCCACACGTAAGGAGTGGGAAGTTATGCTCCACCTCGTTAAGGATGGAGTGGCTACATAAAATTATTTGGACTCCTGCTGGGAGATTGGTCTCTTCTCTTCCATTTGTTTATTCAACCATTTTATATGTATCAGTATGGACTCATGGATATTTATTGTATACTTTTGGTACAATCAAATGCAATTTATTTTATTGCTTCAATTGTTCCATTTTTGGCCATTGGGAGCTCTTTCCTTTGGCTCCTGTATCCCTTTGACATACCCCTATCATTTGAAGTTCTGGTTTGGTTTCTATCTTTTGTATTTATTTGTACTCCTTTCTTCATTTCTGGCTCCAGGTTCATTTTGCCTGTGTCCTACCCCATTCCTAGAATCTTGCATTTCTCTAGGGAGCCCTGGTTCCTTTTATTGGAGAGTGGTATTAGAAACCAAGATCTGGGCTCTAGGTGTTCCTGCTACTGGGGTCTTGTTGTTTCCAGGCCCTCTCAGCTGACGGAGCAAGGAAATATATGTGTGTATACTAACCTGTGTATGTACACATAGCTATAAATATTTCTATGTGTAACGTCTGTATTTTTATTAAGCTAAACATGAATTCATTCTGATGTCCCCAAATCCAACACATTGTCACATAGATCATTCTATCTTCCTCACCTTGCTTATTTATAAACTCTTACTCCAACAGTGAGAAATCTGATTCATACCATTTGCCATTCATTCAGTTAATTGTTTAATTACAGTGTCCATTCACAGTAGCATCAGTATTGTGAATCTGTCCCCGTGGGAAACAGCTTTATCAACTAGAGTACAGTGCTTATGTGCAGATTCTTTCGCCTTTCGTTTTACAGACTCCACTCATTTCTGAGTTTACATTGGTCAACAACTTTCCCCCCAGCTCTCTCATTGAGATGTTTCATATATTTGTAATACAATTACTGTATATTGTTATGTCACATTCTGCATTCCATCTTGGGAGTCCCCTGACCTCCTAAATGATTTTTTTGTTGATTAGCATGCATTAAGATTCACTCTTTATGCTGTGAAGTTCATTGGGTTTGACAAATGCATAGTATCTCGTATCCATAATTGCAGCACCATACAGAGCAGTTTTACCACCATAAGTGTTGGCTGTGCTTCATCTACTCAACCCTTTCTCTCTCTCCAAACCTTTGGCAACCACTAATCTTTTTACTTTGTTTTTTTCAATTTTGCCTTTTTCAAAATGTCACATAATTGGAGTCATACAGTATGTAGCCTTTTCAGACTGGTTGCTTTTATTTAAAAATATGCATTTAAGCTTTATCTGTGTCTTTGTGGTTTAATAGCTCCTTTTAATTACTGAATAATGTTCCATTAGATGGATACACTACAGATTGTTTATCCATTCACCTGTTGAAGGACATGATTGCTTCCAGTTTTTAGAGATTCTAAATGAAGCTGCTATAAACATTTGTGTACAAGTTTTTGTGTGGACATAAATTTTCAAATCACTTGGGTATACACCTAGGAGAATGATTGCTAGATCACATGGTAAGACTATGATTAGATTTGTAAGAAATGCCAAACTGACTTCCAAAATGTCTGCACCGTTTTATATTCTCACCAGCAATGAATGACAGTTCCTGTTGCTCTGTGTCCCCAGCAGTAATTAAAATTTTCAGTTTGGGGATTTTTGCCTTTTTTTGCTGGGAAAGATTCACCCTTGCTAACATCTGTTGCCAATCTTCCTCCTACTTTTCTTTTTTTTCCTCCCCAAAGCCCCAGTACTTGATACAAAGCCCCAGTACTTGTACTGGGTTGGTGCCCAGTACAACAATCCTAGTTGTAAATCATTCTAGCTTCTTCTGTTAACCACCGCCACAGGATAGCAACTAACAGACGGGTGGTGTGGTTCTGCGACCGGGAAGCAAACCCGGGCCTCCGAAGCATTGAGCGCTGAACTTTAACCACTAGGCCATCAGGGCTGGCTTGATTTTTACTGTATTAATAGATGTATAATAGTAGCTCACTGTTTTCATTTGCAGTTACCTAAAGACAAATCATTTTGAGCGTGTCTTCATATGTTTATTTGCCATCCGTGGATCTTCTTTGCTGAGGTGGCTGCTCAGATCTTCTTCCCTTTTTCAGATTGAGAAGCTGTCTTACTGTTGAGTTTTAAGTATTCCTGGTATGTTTGGCATAGAAGTTCTTTAACAGATAGGTGTTTCGCAAATATTTTCTCCCATTCTGTGGCTTGTCTTTTTATTCTCTTACTTGTGTCTTTTTCAGAGCAGAAGTTTTAAATTTTAATGTGAAATCCAACGCATCAATGTTTTCTTTCATGGTCGTACTTTTGGTGGTGTGTCTAAAACCTCATCACCAAACCGGAAGTCCCCTAGATTTTCTCCTCTGTGTTCTTCTAGAATGTTTATAGTCTTCTGTTTTACCTTTAGGTCTGTGATTCACTTTGAGTTGATTTTTGTGCAAGGTGTAAGATCTGTGTCTGGACTCCTTTTTTTTGCATATGGATGTCAGATTATTCCAGCACGTTTGCTGAAAAGCTTATCCTTCTACATTTAATTGTCTTTGTTCCTTCGTCAAAGCACGGTTGACTCTGTGCTCTCTATTATGTTCCATTGATCTATGTGTCTATATTTTCACCAACACCTAGCTGTATGGATAGCTTTGTAGCTTTGTAATATAAATCTTTGTAGCTTCATAATAAGTCTTGACATTGGGAAGTGTGAGTCCTCCAACTTTTTCTTCAGTGTTGTGTTGGCTGTTCCAGGTGTTCTGCCTTTCCACGTAAACTTCAGAGTCGTTATGTCGAGATCTACAATATAGCTTGCTGAGTATTCGGGAGTGTGCTGAATCTACAGATCAAATTGGAAACAATTAACATCTTAACAATCTTGTGACTTTCAATCTATTAACATAGAATATCTCTCCGTTTATTTAGATCTTCTTTGATTTATTTCATCAGAGGTTTGTAGTTTTCTTCATATGTATTTTCTACATATTTTGTTACATTAACCTGTATTTCATTTCTTTGGTACTATTGTAAGTGATACTGTGCTTTTCATTCCAAATTCCAATCGTTCTTTGCTGGCAGAGAGGAAAACAATTAACTTTTGTACCTTGTATTTGCTATTGTCACTCTCTCATTTTAGTTGTCCTAATAGGTTTGTAGTGATATCTTATTGTGGCATTAATTTGCATTTCTCTGATGGCTAATAATATGGAATATCTTCTCAAGTGTTTATTTTCTATCTATATATCCTTTTCAGTGAAATATCTGTTCATATCTTTTGCCTATTTTCTAATTAGATTGTTTGTTTTATTACTGTTGAGTTTTGATGTCTTCGTGTATATAGTAGATAAGAGTTCTGTATATCTGTGGTTTGCACATGTGTTCTCCCAGTCTTTCACTTTTCTTTCCATCCTTTTAGTGGTCTTTCACAGATGAAAAGTTTTTAATTTTGATGGAGTTCAATTTATTGATGTTTTTCTGTTAGGAATCTCATTCTATGCATTATCATTGATATGCTTCCATAGTTTCAAAAATCAAATATGTTTAGATGATAACAAAATCCCTGTAGCCCTGTCTGACAACTCCGTTGACTCCTCTTCCTCTCTCACACCCCACATTCAATCCAGCATAAACTGTCAAAGACACACCCACGCACACATATGTACACGTACACAAATATATACAAAACCAAACCATCTTTCACGCCCACCGCCCTGTCCAAGCCGCTGTGGACTCCCACCTGGACCTGCTGCCCTGCTCACTCTTGCGTTCTCTTCCCGTCCCGCAGCCAGGATGGTCCTGTTAAAACCCAAGTCAGATTAGGTCTCACTTTACTCTTTGCTCAGACTCCCCCAGTCCATGTTTAGCTCACTCACAGCAAAATTCGAAGCTCTTACCATGGCCTACGAGGCCTTCCACAACCTGTGCCCTCCTCTCCACTCTCTCCTCGTCTCCGGTGCTCCCCTTGCTGACTCCATTCCAGGGGCATTAGCTTAAGAGCTGTTCTCTGAAGACTCTGGACATCCTGCATTGCATGTAGCCGTTCCCTCTGTCCAGAGGCTCTTCCCTCGGCTATCTGCATCGCTCTCTCCATCACCTCTTTCAGGCTTTTGCTCATACGCCACCTTCAGATGAGGCCCACCCTTCCCACCCAGGTAAATCGAACTCATGCTGCTTTCAAGCCCCATATCCTGCTTTTGTCTCCATAGCATTGTTACCTTCTAACATACTAGAAAATTTACTTATTATGTTTGTTGCTTATTTTCTTCCCCCACAAAAGAACATAGGTTCTGTATAGGTCTGAATTTTGCCTGATGTTTTCTCTTGGTTCTGGCACATAGAACAGTGCCTTAACAAGGCCTCAGTAAATACGGTCAGTGAAAAACTGACTGAATCAACTGCCTGTGACACAGGCGTCTCATAGTATTCGGAGTTGAACTTAATGTTTTTCCAAGATTTTTAAGAATTCATATCTTTAAGTCAGAAAGTTAGGATGGGCCTCATCGTGCTGCAGTTGCGTCCTCGCCACCCCACGTTTAACTCCACTAGAGCAGAGCTCAGTGGGCAGTGTTTGCATGATCCTGCTGAGGCTCCTCCGTCTCTGGCTGGACCCCGTTCAGTTCTTTCTTTACACAACAGCCACGGAGACTAGAAATATCTCTATAGCTACATATCACTGTCACTTTTTTGCTTCGAATCTTCTCATGGCTCTCCGTTATTTTCAAGCTAATGTCTAAATGCCGCACGGTGTGTAGGTTGACATTCCTTGTTTACACTCCATCCACACCTTGGATGTCACTGTTCCACTGACTCACACCCTCTCCCTTGCCTGCCTGTCGCGTGCTATTTCTTTGGCCTAAAATAGTCCTTTGCCACCTGGTGCTTCTCCTCCTTCTTCAGGTCTCAGCTGCAGTCTCGTATCCCCAGCTGTAGCTAGATGCCCCTCTTACCTTCTCTGCAACCTTAACACTTACTCCTTAGGATGTAATTGTTCCGTCTTCATCTGTCTTTCCTACTGTATTGTAAACTCCTCCAGAAAGAATGTCTTTCACCTCCACATGCCCACGGCCTAGTGCGGGGTCCAGCGTGGAGTCGTCATTCACTAATGTTTTAGTAAAATATTATGTGAAGAGCAGAGGTCAGTGCCTACTGCCGGCCTCTTTCCTCCATCTGTAAGATGAGTCTCCTGGCTAGTGAAATGCTTTAAGAGGATTACATTTTCAGCGACTTGGGGGTGGGAGAGACACAGCATGGACTTTGGGGTCAGCTCAGCTTGAATGGAATTGGAACTCTTGTGGTTTGGTATCTGCAGTGGTGTAGACTAGAGCCATCTGTCTCTGGTATCTGGCATTGGTCACTAATTTGGTGACTTCAGGCAAATTAGTTGCGATCTTTGTGCCTATTTCCCATCTGTAAATGTGAATATAATAAATATACATGCATCCTAGAGCAGTTGTCAGATTTTTAGTTTTCTTTATAGTTAACTAATTTTAGCTTTTTTCTCCCAAATAGTACCCCTCCATCCTTATTCTGGAAAAGGAAGACATGTACTCAGGGGTCCTTGTGCTTTTTTAAAACAGAATGACAAGAATTGCTCAGTCATATGTCACATCCTAGGTCTGTAATTGTCCTTGGTGTATGTGCAGATGTGTGCCCTCTTCCCTCACTTGCCCCGGCTCAGGAACCTGGATGCTGCTGGCTCCATACTCTCCAGTGAGTGTGAGTGTGAGTAAGTAATTTGCCTAGGTCTAAATTAAAAGAAAAAAGTCAAAGAAGAACTTGCCACATTAAAAAAGACTCAGCGTGTAGAGTCTGGATTCCTAGTGTGCACCAGGGATGAGCCAGCAACTCCAAGGTCAGAGAGGCGGGTGAGAAGCGGCAGCTCCACCAGGCAGGGCCGCGTCACCTGCCCTCCCTCCCCCCACCAGCCAACTGCATCCTGGGCCACCGTTCCCTACACTCAGGATGCAGTTTGAATGGTCGCTTGTGGCCATCAAGTTGAGCTACTTTCCAGACCCCATTAGGTGGCACACAGTTAATTCTCTCTTCGCATGTTACCGTTCATACAAGTCAATATTTTCTCCACACATGATTTACAGAACAAAGACACATGAGAATTATGTAAAGAAACAATGACAAGGCTTTACTCCTGAGGCCGTGGAAGACAGACAAGGGTTTCAGGAGGAAACTGGGGAAGGGGAAGGGGCAAATGCAGGCAGCAGTGGGCATCGCAGCTGCTGTGACTGGTGGGAAATGGGCCGAGGGCCTCCTCCTCCTGGGCTGAGGCCTCTCTGACTGCGAGTCTGCCGGGCTAACAGCCTCCAGCCACCCAAGCGTGGGGGCAGGTCTTCTGGGAAGGGGATGGGAATAGAATGCTGTCCCTCTGGAGAGAGAGCTGACTGACTTGGTGGGGGGAGTGGGTCCCTGAGTGTATCCTCCCTCAGGGGCAGTTCCCCAGGGAAGGCTGGTTGCGCGATCTCCCACAGTCCTCCTCAAAGGTACCAGTGAGGAACACGCGCCAAAACCTGAGGGCCCCAGGAATGCAACCTCCTCTTACAACCAGACTGGGCAAGACAAAGGATTAGGGAGGCTGATCCCCCAGCCCCTTGCAAAGATGCCAGGGGGAGAATCATGTCTTACCTGCCCTCCAGCAGGTCACCTCCAGGGAAAGGCACGAGGCAAGTTCTACCTGGGCTTGCACTGGAAACAGGCCAGCTCAGGGTAGGCAGGTTGGCGATGTGTGCATGCCTCTCTCCAGGCCCCACAGTGGAACTCTTTCACGGCCGCGAGCGGACTTTCATCTGGTCTCATTCTGCCTTTTTGCCCCAATGCTTAGAGGTCTTGGAGCTCCAGCTTGCTAGGGGAATGCAGAGATCCGGGGCAGATTCGCATGACCAATCAGGTGGGCCTGGTGGACAAGTGTACGTGGCTGTTTCTAGAGGCAGCTGTTCTCTCAGACCAGCGTTCATTTCCTAGAGCCTGGGAACTTGGATCCTGATCCAGAGGAGAGTGAACTGGTTGATGGCCCAACAGTTCTGCCCCAACAAAGCCCTGATGAGGTGATGAGGGAACCCCAGAGGCAAGACGGCTGCTTGCTTTGCCTGCGCCAGAGCCAGGGTTCTGGGCGTAAAGGCTGCCATGGATGCGCATCTAAGCACAGCCTCGCTCTCCGTGGTGCAGGGCCTTCCACTGGCAGCAAGAGGCTCCGCTGGATGGGCCCTGGGCTCTGACTGAAGGTAGGGACGTTAGTGCTTTCAGACACAGGATTCTCCTTGGGGGGCTGGGCTTCCTGATCAACATAGAGGGAGTCTGGCTTGGGCGCCCCAGGTGTTCAGGCCCAGACTTCCCCCATGATTGTGGCACTGGAGGCCTCTATCGTTTCCGCTCCAAAGCTGAGTGCTCCAGTGGTGGAGCTCAGACGTGGGGCAGCCTCTCTGCTCCCCAAGCCCATCGGTGCTGCTGAATCTCCCAGCCTGAGGGGTGGAGCTGTGCTGCCAGATGCTGAGCAGTGCTGCCAAATGTTAGGCCTAACATTGCTCACACCACCAGGTGTGTAGGTGGCAGCTGTAAAGCCAGCGGCACTGTCCATCATGTCAGAGGGGAAAACAGTTTGAGGGCCACTAAAGGCTAGCTGTCTGCTGGCATGGGTGCCCTAGGTGGAAGTTGCGGCTGATGAACCCTCAAAAGCTGACTGTGTGGTGCTGGCCAAACTGGCTGGCCTGGAGTAGAGGTGGAGGCTGGGACTAGAGCTGGAGCTGCGAGGTCTCCAAACTGGGAGGAGCTGTCCAAGGTGGTAGCTTGGTGCTACTGCCCATCAGGGGCTCCAACTGTGGGCTGAGTGGGGTGCTGCTCCAGAGCCCAGGGAAAGCTGAAATGTTGGGATGGGGCCTGAGACGCTCCATGCAGGGTGGTGGTTTCTGTGGCTGAGGCAGCATGGCCACTAGAGGGTGTCTGTCAGGCCTGGTCAGATGGAAAGAAGCTCGCACTGGAGCCAGCGGGAAGCCCCAAGAGGAGAGTGTGGGAAGGTGGATGGATGGCCCTAGGTGTGGCCTGAAGGTCACAAGCAGGCTGGGAGCCGAGCCTGCAGATTTGCTCGCTGAGGGGCTGGAACTAACTTCAGAAACAGCAGCTAGCAGGCCGGTGGGGAGAGGAACACTAGGATCAGTAGCTGGAGAGGGAGGGGTCTGTGAGAAGGAGACAGGAGAATCCACGCACGTGCTTATAGAGGACTCTGCTCTGTGTAACAAGATTCACAGGAGGATTGAGGTGCCGGGGACAGGGGGAAGGTGGAACTGGAATCTGCTGCAGCTGTGCCTGAGGCGTTGGGGTACAAAGGGCCTCCTTCCTTCCCCTTCAGAGGGCACCCCCAGATGGGCTTGGACAGAAAGCGAGGAAGATACTCAGCAGCAGCTGTAGGAGTGGGCGACTCAGGAATTGAGCTGCTCATTTCACAGTTCATCAGTGGGATGGAGGAGGAATCAGGGACGGGAGGGTCTGGGGCCTAGCAGGCAGGCCAGCGAGATCGTGTCTGAATAATGCAGGAGGAGCAGGGGTCAGCAAGGGGAAAAGAGCTGAGGGCCTAAGTGTGAGGAGATGCCTGGAAGGGGCTCTGACAGTGAGGAGAAGACGGGGTCTGGTGAGCTCCAGTCTGAGACAGACGACCCATAGAGGTGGCTGCTCCAGCAGGTTCCAGGATGGCCACTGAGCCTCAGGAGTCCTGCTGCTGCTTGCGTCTCTTTAGCTGAGGGCTAGAGGGGAAGCTGACGGAGGAGCGGTCCTCCATCAACAGACAGGGAAAGAAAAAGCTGCGAGACACTGCAGTCCAGACGGCCTCAGTCTCGTCCCCAGGCCATTGCTGATGCGCTGGCACGCAGCTTCCTTCTCCATGTCCAGGTCCACCTAGCTGGGGCGGACGGGGAGGGGTCAGATTAGGAGGTTCCCCTCACCTTGGTGGCAGCAGAGGAATTTTGCATTTATTGGATATAGAACTGTCGGGTCTACAGCTCCTGGTGTTTGTTTCTGCCCTGAGGTGGCATCTGAAACCTTTACACTCTGGATCTCCTCTGTGATCCCACTGAATCTGAGGAGCTGGACCCATGGCCCTCCTTCCTGTGTGGACCCCTCAGGCAGCAGGGGGTGTGAGGTGGCTGGACCCTTCTCCTCTGCAGTGGCGGGAAACCGCGAGTGGAGCTGTATGAGTTCGTAATAGCCTTTCATTTGATGCATGAGGTCCTAAGAAAGATATGGGATTTCTTAATGGAAGTGTCTGCTGAGCTCCTGGAATAGAGGTGTCTCTTCAATGGCCTAGGCCTGGGCTCAAAGCCAGAGAGGCCTGCACTGACCACGGGGGGCCTAAATACGGACTGTAGACTCCCAGCGCTGTGGGGGGGCCCCTTCTCGGATTGTCCCGCTTCTCCCTGTCTGCGGGGTATTCCTCCTGTTTCACTATTCCTCTCCCACTCTCTCTGAGGTCCCTCAATATCGTCTCCTCTGCGCAAGGGTCTAGGGGATGACTGGATGTTCCAGGGGGCATCGAGGGGACTACCTCCTCCTATTCCAAACAGAGAGTCAGTTTGCCCCCTAGGTAACTGAGCTGCAGGACGTTGTGGAGTTTTGAGCAGACAGCACCCACTTCCTTTGATTTCTGTGTCAGGACACTGAAGCAAAGACCCCAGAAAGGAACACGGGGTCTGCAGCATCCAACGGGATGTAGTTACTGGATGCTGGCAGCACCGTCTGACAGTGTTCTGGGGCAGAGGCAGACAGATGAACTCAGTGGACAGGGGCAGAGCCCAGGCCCCTGTGTGGGACCTGTGTGTCCCAGGGGGTGGAGCGGTGGCAAGGACAGAAGCTTGCCCAGGTAAGGTCTCATGAGGAGCAGTTCTATAATGTCACAGGGCAGGAGAGTTCTTCCTGAGCTTCCCACTGGGCCAGAGGCAAAGCTTGCTCTGCTTGGCGTGTTGCTAAAGATGCATATTTGGAACGTGCGAGCAAAGACAGTAAGGGTGATCAAAGTGCATGAGGGGAAGGGTGCACATGCGCAGAATGCTCAGGGAAATACCCCCCAAAGCGGGGCTCAGCTTCCCTGTGCCCTCTGACTCTTCTGTGGCTCCTGCTGCTGAAGGGAGATGGGCTTATTGGGAGGGCCAGTGGCTCCTCCTCCACTCGGTCCCAGTGCCCCAGGGGGATTGTGCAGGACAGGGATTCTTGAGGCTGCAGAGCGGGGACCACTGGGGAGTCGGGCTCAGGATCTTTAGTGCTGGCCAGAGGTGGCAGCTCTGAGGTCAGCAATTGTGTGTCTATCTGTCCTTTCCCCTGGGGATACTGGAGGAGAGAGCTGCTCAGAACAGGAGTAAGGATGCCACTCATGCGTGGGGGCCATGGGGGCAGGCTGTGAAAGACATACTTAACACTGTGACCCAACAATCCTACTAGGTATTTACTCAGGAGAAATGAAAATCTGTGCTTGTACAAAATCTGCCTGTGAAAGATTTTAGCTGCTTTATTCATGTTTCTTAGATAAAAGACTATTCAGGTTATACATATTTTATTGAGTGAGTATATATGCGTGAGAGTATGTTTATTAGTGGTACCCCAAGGATAACAAATTGTTTATCAAACTTTTCAAAGTCCAATTAGAGTTAGTATTTTACCATTTCAGGTAAAACGTAGAAACCTTAAAACCATATAGATTGTTTACCCTTCCCTCTTTATATTATGGTTGTCTTATGTTTTACATCTATATGCATTGAACCCTCCCCCACACACAGTGGTATAATTTTTGCTTTCAAAGTCATATTAACATTCAAAGAATTTAAGAGGACAAAAATACGCTAACGTATTTATGCAAATATTTACATTTCCATTGCTCTTCCTTTATTCTTGAAGTTTCAAGCTTTCTTCTCGCATCATTTGCCTTCAGTCTGAAAAAGTTCCTTTCTCATCTTTTTAGAGGTTGGCTGATAATGAATTCTCTTAGTTTTCCTTTATGTGCATCTGCGTTTATTTTTCTTTCATTCATTAAGGATATTTTTGCTGGATATAGAACTCTAAGGTTGATAATTCTTCTGTTTCAGGATTTTAATGATGTTGCCCCATTGCTGGCCTCTGTGGATTCTGACGAGTAATCCTAAATTGTTCAAATTGGCTGTCTGTGTATGTATGTATTTTTTTTCTCTGACTGCCTTCAAGAATTTTTCTTCATCTTTTTTTTCAGCAGTTTGAATATGATGTGTTAGAGTGAGGTTTTCTAAGCTTCTTGAATCTTTCACCAAATTTGGGAGGTTTTCAAATATTTTTCTCTACACTGAACATTTCCCCCTCTTTCTGGAACTCCAATGAGATGAATCCTAAAGCTTCTGATAACGTCCCACAGGTCTTGGACACTTTATTAAGTATGTGTATGTGAATAAACACTTTATTTTGGAACAGTTTTAGATCTAAAGAACTATTGTAAAGATTGTACAGAGAGTTCCCATATACCCCCAGCCTAGCTTCACCTGTTATAAATGTCTTACATTGGTGTGATACGTTTGTCACAATTAATGAATCAATATTGACATATTGTTATTAACTAAAGCCAAGACTTTATTCAGATTTCTTCATTTTTCCCCTGACGTCCTTTTTGTGTTCCAGACTCCCACCCACAATGCCACATTACATTTAAGAGTCTTGTGTCCTTACGCTCCTCTTGGTATGACACTTGTCTCGTTTGTAGTGACCTAGAAACTTGTGAGGATTACTGTCAGACATTTTGTGGAATGTCTCTATTGGAATTTCTCTGAGGCCTTTCTCATAAGACTTGAATAATATGTTTTTGGGAGGAAGACCACAGAGGTAAAATGCCATTATCATCACACTGTGTCAGGAGTACACTATTAACATGACATCACTGTTGACATTGACCTTAATCGCCTCGCTCGAGGTAGATTTTATAAATATCCTCCACTGGAAAGTTACACCTTTTTTGACTATTTCCTTACTGTACTCTTTAAAAGAATGTCTTTATGCACAATTAAAGAGTGGGGAAATATGCTCCACCTCTCTAAGGGCATGGTATTTACATTCATCTGCATGGTAGGTTTGTCTTTTTTCCTCATTTATTTGTTCAATCATTCATGTCAGTATGGGCTCATGGATATTTATTTTATACTTTGGGTTATAGTCCAATAATACTTTATTAATTTTGTTACTAAAATTGTTGCACCTTTAGCAACTGGGAGGTCTTTTAGTTTGCTCTGTATCTCTTTGATATATCCCCATCATTGAAAGTTGTTTGTTTTGAGTCCTTCTCAGACCTAAAAGTTGCTCCAGCCTCCTCTTGTGTATTTCCTGCCCCATTCCTGGAATCAGCCACTTATCCAAGGAGCCCTGGTTCCTTTCATTGGAAAGCACTATTAGGAACCAAAGTCTGGTTGCTGGGGTGCTCACTGTGCCGTGTTGCTTCCAGACCCACTCAGTGGACAGAGCAAGGAGATATATATGTGTATACTAACACATGTATATACACATAACTATACATATTTTTATATCTAACCATCTCTATCTATATTAAGATAAACGTGAGTTCACAATTATGTGGCTCTGTTCACTTTTGTTGAATATATTTTTCTATCTGTTCTTCAAATTGTATCATTTATATTGATCTATCTTCAAGTTCAGTGACTTCTCCCTTCTCCATCCTGTTATTGAGCTCATCAGTGAATATTTCAAGTATTGTATTTTTATTTATAAAGTTTCCATTTGCTTCTTTTTCACAATTTCTATTTCTCTGCTGAGAACCTCCATCTTTCCATTCATTTCAAGAATATTTACCTTTACTGCATTGAGCATGGTCTTAATAGCTGCTTTGCTTGATAATTCCGTATCTGGGTCATTTTGAACTTGGATCTGTTGATTGTCTTGTCCTTTGAGAATTGATTAGACTTCCCTAGTTCCTGGTATGTTATTTTGAGTAGTTTGGGGTGGTATCCTAGACATTTTGCGTGTAATGTTGTGAAACTGTGCAGAATGATATTTTATTTGATTGTTTTAGGAAGCAGTCGACGCCGTTATGCTTAGACTGTGTGTTTTGCTTGCCTTCTGTTGGCGGTTGCTCCAGTCTCGGTGCAGTTTTCAAGACTTGGCTCTGCTGTTTGTGTCCACATCTTGCGCACATCACTCAGGGGTTAATCTGGGGCTCGAGTGGAGGTTTATGTTGTGGTTCACTTCTCAGAGACTTGGCTCTGCTTGTGTGGATCTCTTCTGTGCATGTGCTGCTCCCTGTGAGCCTGGGACTCTGGTTAGTTCATACGCAGGTGTAAGTGATGCCCTTTTCCAGTTCTCGCCTCTTCAGGATTTATCTCCATTCTCAAACTTGCAAGGGCCTCTTTCACATGTTCCTCTCAGTATTTAACCCTTTGTGCTGTCATGCGGTTGTGACCAGGTCAGCCTTTGAGGTGACAGAGCTAGCCAGAGCAGAGAGGCAAAATCACTGGGGATTTCCCCCACACTCTTCAGACAGCGAGAGGCCCTTCACCTCTTCCTTGGCCAGAGACGCACGTAATCACTCAGGTGCCTGTGCCCCTGCTGAAACTGCAGTCCCCGTCATAACCGGCATGGTCTTTGGGGTGGGCCAAGAGAGTAAAACAAAACGAAATGAAACAGGGGTAGGCCCCACTCCCCAACACACAGAGGCACCCCCTCCCTGCCGTCTGGCTAGAAATGGGGGGGTTCTCCCAGTGGTTTGCTTCCAGTGCCTGCTGTGCAGTCGCAGGATTCCACCTGCCCTCGGGTGACAGCAAGGAGATGAAGGCGGAAAAGCAGCCACTGTAATCGCCCCTTACAGGTAGTTATTCACATTTTTACTTTGGTCCCCATTTGTCTAGTATTATTTGCTTTTTCACTTCTCTGCAGTGTTTTATTTGTAATCTGCAAGAGAAATCATTCGTAAGGATCTTGCTCTACTTTGGCTGGAAACAGATGTTTGTAATCGCTTCAAAAATAAAATTTTTTATAAATACACATGTAAGAAATGTTCTACAGTTATATGTAAATATTTTAAATGCTACCATTGTACACCAAAATGTTATTAGTGCTTGCCTATAAATAAGTCATTCATTTTGTAATTTTCTGTATTTTTCTGTATTTTTGTGATTATCTGTTTTAATTGTATCATTAAAAAAAAACCTCAAAGCAATTTTGACTTCAGATCTCCAACAATTCCTATGTAACCACAATTTAAGTGTTTTGACCTGAGCAAATAGAATACTTGAAAAAGGGAAAATGTGGATTTCAGATGGTGGCAGGGATTAAGTCCAGCAAGAGATGTCCTTGCAAAAGTTAGCAGTAGCTCAAGACTCTCCAGGGCATTCATGGCAGGAAATCAAAGAGAATCAGCACATTCAACTCTAGAAAAATACAGCAGGCTCACCCCAATATGGATAGTTGAAACCAGGACAACTAGATATACTTAAGAGAAAATAGTGCTTTACAAGGTTGAGAAAGGCAGAAATGTAAAAAAATATTGAATTATGTGCAGTATGCACAATGCACCCTCCTACTCTTAATACAGGAAGAAATAGAATGAAGATGTGTCCTCAAGGCTAGTGCTTGTGTGCCAATATTTATCAAAATAAGGTCTTTAACTCCACACGTAGTTCATTTTAGGCATTTTCCATTCTTCTCAAAATAGTTGGAGATAGTTATTCTAAGGGTGTTTCAACTTCTAGAAATAGAGATCATTGAAAAAGTGAAAAGAAAGATAAAATAATTTTTTCCTGTCTTGACAAATAGTCTCCAATATAAGATATACCCATAAAGATAGGACTGGGAACTTCAAGATATGGGTACTAACACGACCATAAACGGAACATCTTGTGTTGAAACACAGCACGTTGGATGAATAGGAGCACTTTATTTAGAATATAGGTTATGTGAGCACCTACAAACCCCGTCTGTAGTAGGAATTTCCTTCGTTGCTTTTGGATTCAGAAAGCGAAGGTGCTGATGTACCCTCCACAGGAGGAGATAAGTTGCCAGTGCTCTAAAGGAAACACTGCGAAGTTCAGAGACGTGGGCGTGTCGGGTCCTGGAGGGCAAAGGTCTATCTCTCTAGACACCTGCAGGGGCTTGACTTTCTCAACTTGTGTTTCCTAGCTCATTCTTTGTTGATAGCACCTTCCTAATCTTTGATTTCTGCTTTTAAGGATCTTTTAAAGCTGTATGTCCTTCCTTTTCAGCTTCACATTTGGCAGCCATTTTTACCTCCAGGTAAAGCTTGATTTACTTAAGTTAATGTTATATTATTCTCATTCTAGCAGAATGAAAAAATCTAGAGTTATTGTTAAGACACTTTTCATTTAGCATGACATCTTGAAAGTTGAATTACAAGTTGTATTTTCCCAGGAGAAACCATGGTATAAATAGGTGTTGAATTCCAATGTCAATCCTTAAAACCCATTTAGCCCATAAACTCCCCTCTGCTTTTACATAATCGCCAGGTAGTTTTAAACATAACCAGTAAATGCCATTTTAGAAGAAAAATGTAGGAGAATATCTTTATCACTTTGGAGGTAAAGAACTACTTATTAAACCAGATACAAAAAGCACAATTAGTACAAAGACCTGCTATTCATGTTCCACCAGACTTCTTGGGACTCAGAGAGCCAGATCCCAAATGATGACAATGACTATTTATCCCCCAATAGCAAGTTTTAAAGAGGAGTCTGGGGCTTAGAGAGTTGAAGCACCGCTTTGCCAAAGTTTCACATCCGCAAAGGGACATCCCCCGAGGATGCCCTGGGTCCCCGAGTGCTCACCTGCAGCACCTTCAGCACCCTAACTTCTTGGTCCAAAACCTGCTCATCACGGAAGCACTGATCCTCCATGAGCTGGGGAATGCTCTGCCCGGTGTCCTCACTTCCCCCTTCCAGTCCCCCTGGGGCTGAAGGCTCTGCTCCAGGAGGGTGTCCAGCCTCTATGCAGGGGTCTCATCCAGGTCCTGGGAAGCTCCATCTCTGCAGGACCAAGCTGCCCTTAGAATAAACCTTCTTTTTTTTGAAGAGGGCACCTTCTAACCTTTCTCCAGAAAACTAACAGTCTAGAGAGGGGGAAGGAGAGGGAGAGAGGGATTTATCGTCCTCCCCACGGGATGAAGGGCTGGGGCGTCTTCCCTGCAGCACGTAGCTCCCTTGCCTGGGCTGCCTGCACTCAGTAGCCAGCCTCCTTACTGGTGCTCCCTGCTCTCTTGACATTTGGAGATTGAAATTGAATTTGTAGAGTTGGAATTTTCTCTTTCTATTCAAGGCTGCCAAGAAAAAAGCCCAGGAGTTGGAGGCCTCCCGCGGGCTTCCCCACAGGCTCTCAGCCCGGGGATTTTCAAGTGTCCTGGAGCTGGCCTCTCCCCTCTCCCCATTTCCTACTGCGTGAGGAGGAGACTTTGACCCCTAAGGCAGCTCTGGCAGCTGGAGAGCATCTGCTCCTGGGGTGGGAGCCGCTGGCTGCCTGGAGTGAGGGATGCGGAGGCTCCACCTGAGCCTGGGGCCTGGGGCCTGAGACTGAATGATTTCTTTATATTTGAAAACAAGGCATCTACAACTATTATTGCTTGTTTTGTTCCTTATTATATGAGTAATCCATGTTCATGGTGGAAAAATTAGAAAGTGCACATGTACAGAATGGAGAAAATAAGAACCATCGGTATAATGCCTTCACCAAGGACCCTGACCATTTACATTTGGGCATGTTCTTCCATTCTTATTTCTAGGTGAGTCCTTCCCCTCCCCCCCAGCACTATCCCACAGTAAAGAGGGGGGAGCCTTACATGTGATCCTTAAAGGGTCTCTCATGGGGGGGCGGGGAGGGTGCAGTTATCTGAAGGAGTTCATTTTGAAGAACAAAGGACAGTTTGGAGAAGATTTGCTTGCTTTAAAGGGTCTCCATTAATTTAGCTTTGGAGGCCTAACGAGATCACCCTATGAAATCAGTCAAACAAATGGCAGAAAAGCTTAACTCAGATTTAGCAGTTATTCCCTGGAAGACGGCTACGCACTTGCGTGGAGTGGATGGTATTGCAAAAAAGTATTTTAACAGTTACTTAAAAGAGAAATCCTATATCGGTATTGTGGTAGTAAAAATTGTATACAAGACTGAATTTAGAAATACAGTAATGTCACATGAATTCATCATTGTAGTTTGTCAACAACATCCAGATTCCATGCCTCACTCTACTTAGAAGATGACAGGCCCTGGGAAACTGGCTTAGAAGCCTCAAAAATTGCTTTGGGGAGAATTTGTGTAAAAAAGTTTTTTCAAAACATGAAATTGGAAAAGATCAAAACATATATTAATCATATAACTTAAATATATCTGGGGCCAGCCCCGTGGCCGAGGGGTTAAGTTCGGGCGCTCAGCTTCGGTGGCCCAGGGTTTTGCCAGTTCGGATCCTGGGAGCAGACATGGCACCACTCATCAGGCCACACTGAGTCAGCGTCCCACATGCCACAACTAGAAGGACCCACAACTAAAAATACACAACTATGTAACGGGGCACTTTGGGGAGAAAAAGGAAAAGTAAAACCTTTAAAAAAAATTAAATATACAATTGCATCTAAACTAATAAATATTATAAGTACACATTTCATTTCCCTGAAAGTTCATATCAGGACAACCCAACAAAACTTTACTGGCTTCCTGTGAAATATTTTTTATTGTTGCATGGAAAAACTGCCTTAGATTTGGAGTCGGCTGGTATTTGGGCATTTGTGATGCACATATTCATACCTTTAAATTGTAATATCTTGTACATAACCTTCAGAAACCTACTTTTTAAAAATAAATATACTGTAGACATATTGCCACATCAATGTATATGCCCACCTGAGGCATCCTTTTTAAGACTTGCATAGTATAGTATTGTTTGTACTAAAAATTAGTGAACACTTGCCTTTTTCTTTTCCCTTTTTTTTTTTTGCTCTTATAAACCACACACCTTGGGAAGCATTGACAGAGCCTACCAGACTAGAGTTTCAGCCGTTCCTCAGCTCTGCAGCGTCATCTCTCAAACCCACCCTTTTGTGTTAGGAGCCTTTCTACGTGGGTAGCCCCCACCTCCTCACTGGCTGATGCCTGTCCTGCTCTGTGTGACTGTCTCTTCTGCAGGGACACTCTCTGGCCCTCCAGACAGCTGTACCTGCACATCCCCTTTTCTGACTCTCCTGCTGTCTCTGCTTCCCCTGCAGGCTAGGGGATCCGAGGGGCAGGGAGCACGTCTGTCTTGTTCGTCACATTAGAAAGTGCACATGTACAGATGGAGAATTCCCAGCAACTGCAGCAGGGCCTGGCACCCAGTAGGTGCTCATTAAGTGTTCGTTGAGTGAATGTGTGTCAATGATGAGGCCTGAGAAAGAAAATCCCCTAACATTTGGAAACAGGTCTGATGTTCACTGCTGGGCCGTGTTCTCCTGTTGGACATAAACAATCTCACAAAACATCACATCAGCCGAGGTTACTCTGAGACCGCGGTAACGTAAAATAAAACAAGGGCCTTGTGCAGCCCACTGAACACCAAATATCCCTCTCTCTCAGGTGACAAATGGACTTATTTTTGTTTGTACTTTAGTAAAAACAGAGAAATAAAATTCACATTTGACACCAATACTGTAATGTTTTATGTCTTTAGAATTGACCATAAATAATAAGTATAACAATAGGATTTCTATAAATATACGATTTCTTTTTGCAGGAAAAGTGGGCTTTTTGCTTTTCCCGTTGACAATGATGGTATAATGCTTCCATTTCTTGGGCACTTACTGTGTGCCCGTTCCTGTGCTTCACGCTCTCCACGACTTCTCTCAGTCACCCCTCACAACTCCGTGACGTGGATCCTACTGGAATCTCCACTGCAGACAAGGACATGGGAGAAGACGGGTTTATTCTGAATTATTTTGGCAGAAGAGTGCTTTTGCTCAGGGGCGTGAGGAAAGGCAGAGGAGTGTGGAGAAGAGCAGAGGGAGGGCATGCTGTGTGTCCCTGCTGAGCCACATGCTCGGGAACTAGCCTCAGAGCAGAGGGTCAGACCTAGAAGTGCAAGGACTTGACGTCACAGAGACATGTGGGCCAAGCCCCTGCTGTGCGGCTCAGAGCTGGGGAGAGCGCCTTGTCTGTACCTGGCACCGAGCCCTCTACTGCCCTGGCATCCTGAGCACGGGTGGCTTGAGGGCAATGGGGGGCAGTGCTCTTAGCTGGACACAGAGACAGAAGGAGCAGAACATGGGAGATGTGCCTCCAAGTCCACAGGACCCAAAGATCACTAAGCACCTAGGGAGGCCTGGGGAGACGGAGGTGGTCATCCTCCATTAGCTGATAGGGATGTGGGCTCTTGGGTTTCTGGGTTCTTGTTAAGGGGACTTCAGCTGACCTCACCTGCTGGGAAGACCTAGCACATGTGCGTCATGTTCCTGGCCTCTCTCCCAACCTTTCTACAGCTTTTTAATACTGTCTTTTCCAAACTTCTCTGTGCTATTTTGTCAATTTACCCCTCTCTCTGCTAAGGGTTATTCTACATCCACCGGAAAAAAAAAAAAAAAAAAAAAAGGAGAAGGAAGAAAAAACCCATTTCTAATTCCTCGAATTGTAGTATGGAAGAGATGCAGAGATGATCTGGTCAATCGTCCCCATTTCGCAGAAGGTGGAAACAGGAGGGTTTAGCGGGGTTACTTAGCATGTTGATAATAATCTGAATTCCAGTAGCTGTAACTTGTTGAGCACTCAACATGTGCCAGGCTCTTTTCATGGATTAGCTTCTTTAATCCTCGCAAGACCCAATGATGTAAATGTAAGTTCTCATCCTACATATGAGGAATGAGTCTCAGAGAGATGATGTGACCTACTCAGACTCACACAACACATAAGTGGCCTCACCGCTATTGACCCAGGATTTTTTTATTCCAAACGTCAGAGACCTAACCACTACACTGTCCCACTGCCCATAGTTGTTGCTGTTTCTTGAGTTCCTACTACATGCTAGTCACTGGGAAAAGCCCACAGAGACGAATAAGACAGACTCATTGGTGGAATTTATTTGTTCAATTAATAGATTCTTAATGAATTCCTACTGTGTGCCGTGAACTCTGCTAAGAGCTGAAGATACGAGAGAGAACAATTGCCGGCATCAGGAGACATTTCCAGGGGGCTCTGGGGCAGCAGAGTCTGCTCAGCTGCCACCCAGCTGTCAGACCACACTTGCTGCCTAGGCTCAGGTGGTTCACACCTCCCCAGTGAGCCTGCATTTTTTTCTCCCTCTGAACCTTTCTCTTTAAAGCCCTATGTAGGTTTTTCCAAGGGAAAGGTGGATAATCCTGAGTAGTTTTGACATGTAGCCACACTCTTTAGCACTTATGTTTCCCAGGAGTATCCCAAGGATGTGCAAAATAACAATGAAATCCCACTTCACACCCAGTAGGATGGCTGTCATTAAAAAAATAACAAATGTTGGGGAGGCTGTGAAGAAATGAGAGCCTTCGTGCACTAATGGTGCGGATGGAAAGTGGGGCAGCTGCTGTGGAGGAGTTTGGTGGTTCCCCAAAAAGTTAAACATAGAATTACCACATGATAAAATAATCTCACTCCTAGGTATGTACCCAAAAGAACCGAAAACAAGGACTCAAACAGATACTCATACCCCAATGTTCATAGCAGCATTATTCACAAGAGCCAAAAGGTGAAAACAACCCAAGTGTCCATCAAGAGACAAATGGATGAACAAAATGCAGTACATACATACAATGGCATGCTATTTGGCTGTAAAAGAGAATGAAATTCTGATCCATGCTACAATATGAATGAACCTTGAAAACATTATGCTAAGTGAAATAAGACAGACACAAAACAACAGATATTGTATGATTCCACTTATCCGAATGATCTAGGGAAATTTTGCAGAGATAGAAAGTAGAATAGCAATTACCAGGGGCTGCAGGGAGGAGGAAAAGGAAAGTTAATGTTTACTGGGTCAGAGTTTCTGTTTGGGATGATGAAAAAGTCCTGGAAATGGATAGTGGTGATGGTTGCACAACATTGTGAATGTACTTAATGCCTCTGAACTGTACACTAAAAATGGCTAAAATGGTAAATTCTATGTATGTTTTACCACAATTAAAAAATAATTTAAGAAAAATAAGATTTTTCCATTTATTGGCACATATGTGTTGGGCACTGGAAATATGGGATGAACGAAGTTGTGTATCTGGAAACAGGAATGGATGAGGTGTGGTGAGAGGGCAGGATAAGATTATAGCTGGTTGCAAAGGTGAATACATGTTTTGTGTGGTCTAAAGCTAGTACAATTAAGGAAAAGAATATAAGATTGTGAAAATAAATTTTAATGCAAAAGTAAATATTTATTTACAATGAGAAAAAAACACAACAAACTACTAACTTAAGAAAGCTGCAAAATATCAATGACATCACCAAATCCAGAAATTAACATGATTTTATTAACTACATGACACCATTCTGTAATATTTTCTTTTTGTTTTGTGGGAGGAGGGCAGGGGGCTGCTGCATACTCATGGATCAGAGCTACGTATGACAGCAATTTTATAATATCACTTTCTATAGAAAGAGTAAAAAACATAGCAATCCTTACTCCAACACGAAGGATAAACATTTTTTCTTCACTAATGATAGCATCATATATCATTATGGGTAACGCCATGTAAATATTTGGGATTGTTGTCAAATTTAGGAAAGTATCAAGTTTTCTTTCATCTTAGAGGTTGTCAAATTTCTGGACATTTTGAGTTTTCTTTGTGCAGTACTAAACTTAAATACTGACTAATGACATTCATTAATTTTGTTATCTTCATTTTGTGTCAAATCAGTAAAAACTTCAAACATTATTCTATATGTTCACCTGATTTACTCCTCTCCATTAATTTTATTATCAAACAATCCAAGAGTCCATTCTTTGAGCCTATTTGAAATTTATCTCTTCCTCTTAAGCAATTACTGCTTTTGGTATGAAATGACAAATTTTGGTTATCATTTTTATTGTTTGATGCATTTGTAATTACATATGCTGCATTATCAAGCATATTCAGTGAAGAGAGCTTCCATTTTGATGCAACATCAGTGAGATTGAAACCTGTGTCTTATGATTTTATATATCATATGATGGGAACAAAAACAGACGCTCTGCCACTGTATGTTTCAAACTTCATTTCTCCTCCACTTTCTACTTACTTCTGGTACTGGGAACCACAGGATATGTTCATGTCGTGACACAGCCTCTGGCCCTGTACCTTCATGTCACAATATCATGAATCAGCTCAAGGAGTGGAAGCAGTATTCCTGGAAGCCATTCCTGCGTCAGGATAATGAGCAATAATTTAACTGTACATAGAAGTGAGTATTAACCACATTAACATAGCCCATCAAACCCTAGTGAACCGTAATCTTAATTCAGCTTCCTCTTAGTCACGTAACATGGAGGGGCATATCCCAGGGGAAAGTCAGAGTGGAAGAAAAGAAAGCTGAATCCAGTTAAAATATGTTACATTTTTTAAAATGTTTTTAAATCATTTGGCCATGCTTTTCATTAAATGCTACTAGATCAAGTATCCATTTTGGAAAAAGATCTTTAATCCAACCTCACACTCCTATATAAAATTCAGTTCCAGGGGCCAGTCTGGTAGCATAGTGGTTAAGTTTGTGTGTTCCACTTCAGCAGCCCAGGGCTCACAGGTTCAGATCCTGGGCACAGACCTATGTACCACTCATCAAGCCATGCTGTGGTGGCATCCCACATACAAAACAGAGGAAGATTGGCACAGATGTTAACTCAGCAACAATCTTCCTCAAGCAAAAAGAGGAAGATTTGCCACAGATGTTAGTTCAGAGCCAATCTTCCTCACACACACACACACACACAAAAACTCAATTCCAGATAGTTGTGAACCTAAATATGCAAAGTAAAGCAACAAAGCTTTTAGAAGAAAAACAACATTTTCATCACCTTGGGGATAGGCAAAACACTAATTTAAATTGAAGAACTTCTGTTTACCAAAAGACACTCTTGAGAGAGGGAAAAAATAAGCCATAGAATGGAAAGTCTTTCTATAATATATATATACAACCAAGAACTTATACCTAGAATATATAGCAAGAAAACTCAATAGAAATATAGGGAAAAGATATGAATAAGCAATACAAAAAAGTGTGTATCCAAGACAACTAAGCAAAAATCAGGAAAATGATATATGAACAAAATGAGACTATCAACAAAGAGATAGAAGTTATATATATATATATATATATATATATATATATATATATATAAAACAAATTCTGGAGCTGAAAAACACAATAAATGAATTGAAAAATTCATTAGAGGTGTTCAACAACAGACTTGAACAGGGAGAAGAAAGAATCAGTGAACTTGGTGATAGGTCATTTGAAATTATTGTGTCTCAGGAAAACAAAAGTGAATGAAGAAAAGTACACACAGGTGAAGGGATTTATGGGACACCATCATGCTGATCAATATATGCATTGTGGAGATACCAGAAGAAGAGAGAGAGAGAAAGGCAGAGAGATTATTTGAATAAATAATGGATGAAACTTCCCAAATTTGAGGAAAGATATGGATCTACAAATCCAAGACCCCAAGTAGGATAAACTCAAAGAGAGCCACACTGAGACACGTTTGACTCAAACTATCAAAGCCAAAGATAAAGAGAGAATCTTGAGAAAGGCAAAAGTGACTCATCACACACAAGGGATCCTCAATAAGGTTATCAGAGGATTTCTCAGCATAAATCTTAGAGGCTAGTAGGCATTGGGACAATATGTTTAAAGTGCTGAAAGATAAAAATAAAAAAAATTTTTTTTAAATACCCTCAACCAAAAATATTTTATCTGGTAAAATTGTCCTTCAGAAATGAGGGAGAAATTAAGACATTCTCAGGTAAATAAAAGCTGTGGGATTTCATTACTGCTAGACCTGCCCTACAAGCACTGCTAAAGGGAGTCCTTCAAGTTGAAATGAAAGGACACTAGACAGTAACTTGGGCCATACAAAAAAATAAAGTTCTCCAGTAAAGGTAAATATACAGATGAATATAAAAAACAAATATTATTGTAATTTTGGTTTATAACTCCCATTTTTTATTCTTTAATAGGATTTAAAAGACAAAAGCATAGAGATAGTTATAAATTTATGTTGACAGGTGAATAATATGTAAAAATTTAATTTGTGACATGAATAACATAAAGCTCTGGGAAACAGAGCTGTAAAGAAGTAGATTTTGAATGTGGTTTAAGTTCACTTGTTATCAATTTAAAATAGATTGTCATAACTGTAGGGTGTTTTGTGTAATCCCCATGGTACCTATAAAGAAAATATCTATAAAATATACACAAAAGGAAATTAGGATGGGAATCAAAACATGTCAGTAAAAAATTCAACTAAACTCAAAGGAAGGAAGGAACGGAGGCAATGTGAGATTAAAAAAAAAATTAAAGACATATAGAAAACAAATAACAAAGTGGCAAAACAAGTCCTGCCCTGTCAATAATTACTTTAAATATAAATG